AAATTTTTTTAGTCATGGGGCTGTTATGGGCAGTTGTTATGTAACATCCAGAAATGTCACAGGCTGCAAATTTTTGGGTATTCCATATGCCGAAGCTCCAGTTAATGAACTACGCTATCGTCGTGCTGTTCCGAAGAAGCCTTGGAAGGAGACTGTAAATGCAGTAAACTTCAAAGCCTCCTGCTACTGGGATTCATTGTAAGAATTGCAAAATACTGATTTCAAAAACAGAAAAAGATGCACCTGAGATTGACAATCTTAAAAAAGATCAGCACCTGTTCAATGCATGTAAAATTTAATTTTTAAGAGCAATTATTAATAATTCAGTTTTAGTTCAATTAAAATTTTTCTAAATTTCATTTAAATTTTTAATTCTTTGTTAAGCTTTACTTTTTTATTATTTTTTTTTATTTTTGGAATAGATAGCTTTATTTTGAAACTATTAACCAATTTTTTATTTATTAGAGTTGGCACATTTTATCGATGATATTCTTGACTTTATTTTCTTCAGAGAAGAAAAATGTTGAGCATTGAGAAGGAAAAGTAGGAGATTGAAGAGCATTTATTTGAGAACAAGAGGCACATTGCTCAATTAAGACGTTTTTAGAGGTAATAGCATAATTTAACTTTATACTTTGAAAAAACTGCGACATTAGGACAGTGACATTTTTTTGTAATTCTTTAGTTTCTAATCTTATTGGTACCACAGTGCTTCCTCACTGATTTGACTTACAAAATTCAATGATAAACTGAGCAAGGTAAGATATGTATAGCTGCATAAGCAGCAAAACCTTATTGTCATGTAAGAGATTTGCTTTAAAGAAAAAACTTAAAAACTGTTTAAGAACTGTCTTCACATCGTCTACAAACTAAAAAACGAAACATTTTTTTTTATTGTTCAAAAAACCAATTGAATTTAGACGGGTAGTCGAATTGCTTGCAGTCAAAGTAGTTTATTTACTTTCTTGGCTTAATATTTGTTTACCGGCTTCATAAAATACCCTTTCGTCTAGTCTTCTGTAAAGTAGTCTTATTATTTTAATCACCTAGTTCTTATAAAAATCTTATGCTGCTAAGAAATTAGAATAATTTCTTAATTTAATTGTTGCAATACAGAAATAAACGATACATTACCGTATATAAGTCGTTATTAAACTAACAAGTGAGGCTTCTAATCCAAATTTTTAAGCAAAAATTAGACGTCTCTTAAAATGACTGTAGAAGCTTAAGAATATTACTTGAAATAGCAGTCAAAAAAAATAGTTCTTATCAAATTTGTTTATTTATTAAAATTTATATCAATCATTTGTCAAAAATAAAAAGAAAATTAAGAAATCAAAGTTTAATTTTTGTTTACTCTACTGATTTTAATGCTCTTAATTAATAAGCTCGTCATTAGAAGGATAATCTTCAAGAATGAAACGACAAAAGATAAAAACAGCAATTGATCACTGTTTATATACATTTTATTCTTTTATCGTACACTTTTTATTGACAAAAAGTAATTACGGGTCAAAATTGTGCATTATTTTTAGATTCAGTTTCAATTAGAAAGTTTAAGCGGTTTGTGTAGTAAATATTTTTGCAAATATTTGACTGTAGCTATTTACATTTGGTATCCCAGAAGGAAAACTGAAAATTTCCAAAAAATTGTCAAGCCAAAAAGTGCAACTGCCAATGGTCCAGAAAGAAAATATGATGCATGAGTGACATGACGGGAGTTAAAACGTCAAAATTTGACGAACACATTTGTTAGTTTATAGAATTACATTTACGATCACTTTTTAATTTGAAAAATTAAAAGAAAAAAGACATAAGAATAAATTTAGTGTAACGAGTGGTCAATCAAAAAACAAATTTTCTCTTCAACTTTTTTTCTCGTAAATTTTGATTTTTAATATAAAATACAATTTGTTTAGAACGTATTTCAGTGCAAAAAGAAGCAGAAAAGAAGTTAAATTTAATAATAAGAAATGATTTATTTAATGCTAAGCTTGACTGCAGTTTTATAATTCCTTAGCTCTTAAACTGTTCTGTGCTGCAGTTTTAGGTCAATCTAAGCTCGAGCAAATTTGTTGACAAAAATTGGAACAGTGGTATTGTTCTTTTTGTAAATTTCTTCTTAAATTTTTCTAGAGATAATAAGAAGAATTTTTTTTTTTTACAAAACTACTTTGATGATTGTTAT